TACAAAATAAACAAGTCTTTTATTAGAATGTTAAGATTGTAACTTTTATAGGAGTTCCCTAATACTTTTTGGAGTGGAAGAAATGTCTCATTTACGTAATGACGAAACTGTCAAAATCAAAAAAAAAAAAAAAAAACAGTCGAAAAGTTGAACTATTTATTGGAAAGAGACGAAGAGGAAATTTTTTTTTCTCTCTCTCCAGAAAGAAGCGGTTCGAAAAATCCTACATGTTCTTAGAAACTTACATATATAAACCTTATTTCCTTGCTATGGAGGACTGAATAAGATTGATCAAACAATAAAAGTTGTTATAATGTCATACTGGCAAACATTTGTGTAGGATGGTACTTTTCATACTCCTTAAAACATTGATCAACAGTTATGACCACTGTGCAGTAATATGAATTGAATATTTCATGTGTAATACAGTAAAATATAGGGGAAAATTTAAACAGAAACATAATGTTTTTGTTAATTATAGGAGTTTCACTTTGTAAGAATAAGTTTAAGCACCTTTGTTTTTAGCATCAACTATTCGGAAAGGATTATGCAAATTTAACTCTTGAAAGTCATTAGTGCAGTCTTGTTTTTCTGACACTGGTGCAACTCTATTTCAACTTAACCATCGTACTTAGTTTTTTAAATATGCAAATGATTAACTCAAAAATACTTTAACCCCAACATTTCAACTATAGCAATATGTATTTTTCAAATATAGATATTGTAGTGCTGACTGGTATTGTGAGCTCATATTTTTTTAATTTTGAAGAACGCAGATAAAAACAACCTCGCATTACTCCAGATAGAATATTAGTTATATATGACTATCTAGACTTCCGGCTGGTGGTATTATCAGAAACACCGCGCAAACACAACTGTCTATACATTGCTTTCCTGATGCAGCCGTCAGTTGAAATATTGACAAGAAATATAATAAGTAAACAAACAGAATTATCTGGGGGTGATGTAAAGCTGTTTTTGTGTCCGTTAAAAAATATAAAGATAAATAATCACCATGGTCGTAAGAGAGCTAAAGTACAGGGTGTTTCAAAAGTCCGTACCAATGGCCAGTTCCCAGCTAAAATCAGGGGTTCAATTCCCCTCGGTGGACACAGCAGATAGCCCGATGTGACTTTGCTATAAGAACACACACACACACACATTTGCCCCCCCCACCCCCAATGGCACAGCGGTATGTCTGCGGACTTACAACGCTAGAAACCGGGTTTCGATACCAGTGGTGGGCAGAGCACAGATATCCCTTGTGTAGCTTTGTGCGTAATTAAAAAACAAACAAACCAATGACCATAATATTTTTATTTTTCAGATAAATGAATACATATAACACAGATCAAGAAGAGAGACTGTGTATGATATGTGTTTGTAATTTGATGATATACAATCTGAACAATTGTAAAATAAAGGTTAATAGTGGGTTCTGCTGATGAGTAGGGAGGGACCTTTGACCCACTCTGTACAATGGCGCATAGCACTCTTTTTTTTCCAACCTGCTTTACACTGTGACCTTACTTTAAACAATCACTACATACGTGGTTTTAAACCATATTTTGTATTATTTCAATCATATCAGCAGGTGTACATTTTGGTAATCAGTATGCCTTGCTGATAATAATTATTATAGTTATCTATAAATATAGAGAGAGACTTACTATTTATATAAACTATTTGTAAGCTCGAATTTACATAGATCTGTTATTATCTAATTCACCAAATTACATCAAATTGCTTAATGTCGGTGTGTAAATCGCCTGAAAAAAAAACAAACGAAAAAGATATTACGCTGTTAAGGAAACCACTCGCTGTAGCACTCGTGAAGAAGCACGTGATTACTTTATGTGGTTTCAGCGAAAATGACACAGTGGGAGTACTCACTAGTTCCTTAATGTTGGTTATTAAACTCTCCACAGTGGAGTCGTTAAGTCTTCATAACAAAGTGTAAGGCTTATCGCTGTCACAAGCGTACCACGAGACTTTCAGGATTGGTAATGAGTTTGAAGAAATAGAGCTTGTTTTTATTCACTAATTAACGAATTATATAGACTCTCGAACAACAAATACATAGGCATATTCTCTTTCGGTTATCTGCTATCGACGCCATCATTGACACAAGACGATCATTAGAAGTCACCTAACATAGGAAACATGAAACATAACATCTGATATATAAGTTCTTAAACTAGTGTATTTTTGAAGTTATACGGCATCAAGGCGATCGTGAAATTCATGAGTGTAGTTTGGTTTCCGATATACCACAATAAAACAACATTTATCATGTTTACTTGCGATTTAGTCAGCCTTAACTTGTGCAGTTGTGTGTGTGTGTGTGTGTGAATATATGTATGTATATGATATATATATATAACAAATACAAAACCACGAACTATTTTTTTTTTGTGGATATCGAATAACAAACACTCGAATATATTATATTTCTGTTTTTTTACCTTCATTATTAATTTTTTCTACAGGTTTCGCAACTTCAAAGGACACACTCTTAAGGGCCGAATTTTACAAAGAATCTATAATAAAAACGTAGAAATACCATTTTTCCGCTAAACATAAATAACATAAATTAAATACATATATTTTCCAAATATGCGAACATATGATACACTCCTTGTATAAATTAAGTATATTTAAAAAATGTTAAAAATAAATACGATAAGTTAGTTTATTCAGTGTATACATAATTTATACATATGTAAGTTTTATAAATGTTTTAGTGTTCAAAGAAGAGAGAGAGAGGGATGAACAGGGAGAGATGGAAGTACGCCTATTTACCTCTACGTCCATGTTGCTATCAATGGTTTTCATGGATTGTCAAGATAACGCAAACTTGCTTTGAACAGTTTCTATTACTAAGCCTCTTTTTTATGCATAGCACGATTAGTGTGGATAAAAAAAAAAGAAAACAGAGAGCGCGAAATAGGAATCAACGTAAGTTTGCCGCTGATACAGAAGATTCCACTTGAGAATTCTTTCAAAAAACCTCCTCTATTCAATTTCCTATATCTCGTTTACATTTCCTTCATGGTTTATATGATAATGTACTCAAACAGGAATGGAGACTTGAGATGAATCTGTATATTGAGTTCGCTTATTTTATTCTGGGAATAACAGACATGAAAATCTCGATTTCAACAAGTCAACATCTTTTGTAAAAGTTTGTTTAAATAAACAAAAAAAAAACACAACAACAACAACATTAAAATGCATAAGTAATCTAACTTGTTTTTCATTTTGGACATTTTTAACCGCTCATGAAAAATAGTCCTAAATATGGAGATCAGAAAAAAAATGTTGTCCTTGTTTTTATGGCGCAAAACTACAATGTGGGTTATATACATTCTGTCTACAGCCAGGAAACGTACCCCCTAATATTAGCGTTGTAAGTTTGTCAATTTACCGTTGACACATCATGAGCATAACTCTTGTGTATATACTTACTTATTCAGCGTTCTTTTTCTTTAATTTAGTTAAATACACTCTGATTGGATGCATCGAAGGAAATAACTGAAATATGTGAAGTTGATTCGCATATTAATTCCTTAGGATGTCTGTAGTATGGTTCAATAATAATAATAACATGGTTCATTACGCAACAGTTAGTATGGTTCAACAATAATAATAATAACATGGTTCATTACGCAACAGTTAGTATGGTTCAACAATAATAATAATAACATGGTTCATTACGCAACAGTTAGTATGGTTCAATAATAATAATAACATGGTTCATTACGCAACAGTTAGTATGGTTCAATAATAATAGTAACATGGTTCATTACGCAACAGTTAGTATGGTTCAACAATAATAGTAACATGGTTCATTACGCAACAGTTAGTTTCAGGAAATGCTCCTCAGAAGTCTGAAAGCAAGATTTGCTTGTTTCTAGTTAAGCGCAAAGCTACACAATGGGCTATCTGTGCTCTGCCCACCACGGGTATCTAAACCCGGTTTATAGCGTTGTGAGTCCGCAGATATACAGCCGTGTATATATATATGAAGTCCAATATATCATTCGATTTACCACTTGTCACTGAGTTACACCGGTTTCGGGGAATTCCACCCCATATCAGTAACCCTGGACAAGGGCAGATCGGAATAGATTCACATAGTGTTATATTTATAGTGTTTTGAATTGTACCTTATTCATATTCTTCAAGCCATACATCGATATAAGTTCATTTTGGTGAATATAAGACAACTGGAAATAGTATACTTAAAAAATGGTTATCTATCTTGTACGTTATATGGAGGTATGATGCCAAGTTCAAAACTCGTTTACTGCTAAGTTTATAAATAAACAACTCTTCCATTGTCAGGATTAAGATACACAATAAAAACAAAATGAAAAGACTTACAACTTGATATTTCATTACTTGTGTGAAACTCGTCGACTTTGGAAAATTTGAAGGGGTGTTAGAAAATCAAACTTACGTGTGATTAATATCACACTTTTCAAGCCCAAGACAAAGGTTATATAGTGTGTTCAGTATATATGCTCATAGCAGTAAAAGAATTAAAGACATGTCTATGACATTGCAAATTTTGAGGTAACGATGCGATGATTTCTTTGCTCTAAGCTTACTTTGCAGACAGCGTATACTCCTTTAACACGTGTGTGAAGCATGGTTGAAATGGAGTTTTGTGAAGTTTCTTTGTACAAGTACGTTTTGTTTGCTCTTAAGCACAGAGTTGCACAAGAGTTTCTGTACGGAGTGAACTTTAATAACAGTTCTATGAAACAACATCAGGATGATGAGCAACTTTAGTATTTCTCCCTAGTCTTCCTGAAGACTGCATATTTGTTTGTTTTAGAAGCTTATAATTTATCTATAAGTGATAATAGGACTGAATATGATTATGGGAAGTCAGAATGACCAAAATTGATAGCGTTTCATATTATTTTGTAAGATCGTAGGAAGTGGAAATAGGTGAAGTTACGTTTTGTGTTAAGATGATGAGAAATGGCAAGACAATGTGGGAACATTTTAGTAAGATGATGAGTTATTAGGATAATAAGGAGTGGAAATAATGAGAAATGATAGAATACATTAAGATGAGGTGTATTAGGAATTTCACAAAATTGTGACTGAGATGATTTTGAGGGTGAAAGAAAACGAAAATAAGAAAACATAAAGCATAGCAAAGCAGTGAAATATTTATATGCTTTGGTTAGCACACCTTATTAAAATACAAAGAGTGAATGTGATGGTAAATCTTAATGATTCGGAAATGATGATTTGATTTAACTAGATCAAAGGTCAAGTTCTTACGATGTTTATAGTTTAGTTCAACTACATACTTCAGTTCAGAATGCTTAAATGTTTGCAATCTTCAGAAAGAGATGCTTTAGAGACCATAAACATACAAACTTTACAAGCATAATTCAGCAGCTTTCAATGGCTGTGATAACCCTGGGATGGATATTATGTTGACATTCCAGTAAGTTCTTAGCCTTTCTAACATTTTTACTGGCCTGTGTTGAAAAATGCAATTTTTTCAAAACTTTCAAGTATTCTTTGAGAAAGTTAAACACCTTATACCAGCCTCTTGAATATTTCTGTCTTTCGTGGTAGTTTGTTTGTTTGTTTGCTCTTAAATACAAAGATGCACAATGGGCTATCAGCAATTAGTTCGCTGCAGGGATTGAATTCAGAATTGAGGGTAATAAGATTTCAATCTTATCACTGGTGTCTCTGTCCTTTCAGTGAAAGCAACTGTTAACACTTCTCCGATTTATTGGATTAAAAATCATGTTTATTCTTTCTTTCTTATTTTAAAAAAAGCTTTATAAATGTTTTCCAGTTGTGTTCATTTTACCAACGGACGTTTATCGCGATCCAGTATCAAGTACTACTCTTGTAAATATTTGTTAAATAACGTCTCATTTGTCTGCAGCGATCGCCACCGTCTCTTAGAATGTAATTAGGATATCCATCAGCGGCATCCTTTTGCTCATTACCTTATCTAGTTCTTTTGAAATCCTCTTTAACGCCGCTTGACTTCCTTGTATAAGAAAGTTTGATGAAGTGGACTGAACAATGAATTTATCGGTGGTTAGTTTTATCTTATCTACTTCGATTCACTTTAGCTACCTCACCTGTAATGTAATTGTGGCTTGAACGCGTTTTGTCATAAGAAAAAAAAATCACTTGCAATCCATCTGAAATACTGTAAAGCATTGTTGGAAATTTTGTCACTTTTAACACCAGTACCTCATATCTTGCTAACTCCACTAAATGATCACATTGATTATTTCCAATTCTAGCATCTGTAAACGATCAAATTGCCAGTGAAAAGACGTGTTTTTACTACGTAAAGACACATGGTTCTCTTACTGTGGGATGCTCCCTGGTGGCTCAGCGGTAAGTCCGAGGACTCATAAGAGTAAAATATAGGTTTAGATACCTGCGATAGACAGCTCACAAATAGCCCATTGTGAAACTTTGTGCTTAACAACAAGCATAGTAATAGAATAACTTACTGAGGGGATAATAGCTATAGAAAACTAAATATGTTTTTATGATAAGGGAACCACCTTCTACAATATATATATATATATAGCTTCCACATACTAAAGTAAAATCTAATCTCCTTTTTGAAGCTGATCGATGGACTCTGTTTTTCAACAGATACTTTAACGGAGTGTCTTTTTATTGTTATTCTACATGATTTTTATCTTCTTTAATATATGATATTTTTTATAGTTTACCCAACACCTCTTTAGATAAAGACTATTCTACACCTTCCACTAGGTCCTCCTGATCCTGTACACTCTTGTAACGTGTCCAATTGTTCAAGCGGGTCCTTCATCCTAGAATGCAGTCCAGGAGACGACGGTGGATTGCCACAAAGCTTTCATTTAGAGGTTTACAGTTCAGAGTCTAACGTACTACTGGCCAACCTAACGAGGCTAAGTAATCCAGTTTTCCAAGCAACCAACCTTCCAGCAGGAGAATCTTTTTATCTAATAGTTTACGCTGCTAATGCCAAGGGCCAGAGCCAGGGGGTTAGAACCACAGCTAAGATTCCTCTATCAGCCAAGCGACAATTAGGTAAGTCGAGTAACTTCCACGTACGTGTATGTGTGTGTATGAACCTCTGTTGCTATACTAGAAGGACAATGCATTTATTCAAGTTGTCGCTCTCCCTTCAGCTGCGTTTATTGACTTATTTTCTTGTTCGTGACGTTGTTAGTTCTAAGAGAGCGAGAGGAGTACTTAATTAGAGCTACAATTCTGCTGTACTTGCGCTTCTCTTGTTTAATACACCGGAATAACACAACTTCGTGTCTAGTAGGTTGAAGTGAAGTAGAAAACTGTATTTTGTTATTTACTTAACACGTGTGACTTAACAAAAGTTTATTACGTTTCATCTCGGCGAATATCAATCGTATTGGTTCAATATTTCTAAGATGTTTTAATTCCGTTAATTGGTAAATATATACATATATATGTCTACAGGTTTTACAAGAGTGTTGATTTGTTCTCTCTTTGAATGGCCATTCATTGTATTCAAACTGGGTTTTAAAATGCAGAAAGGAACATTAATAATAAAAGTTTGTCATCGCCTTTAAAATGTTTCATTTTTTGTATTTATTTTACTTGCATACATTGATTTTAGAATATACATTTTTTGTGTATATATATACGCTGACGGCCCGGCATGGCCAGGTGGTTAGAACGCTCGACTCGTTCGCATCCCCATCCCACCAAACATGCTCGCCCTTTCAGCCGTGGGGGCGTTATAATGTGACGGTCAATCCCACTATTCGTTGGTAAAAGAGTAGCCCAAGAGTT